CTTGTTGAATCAATGCCACGTAGAATTAAGGCAGTTCTGAAGGCGAAAGGGGGTCAAACACCCCCTTTCACCCCCCCATTTGTTCCTAATAATCCTTTAGGTGAGTGTATATGTGCACTGTATAAAGGGCATTACTGTTAGTTATGCGTATGTAGTATGTTTAGTACCGATTCACCATAGTTTTACAGTAGATTTCTGAAAGTCATGAAAAAGGTACATAAAGAGCTGGATACACCCCTGGGGTCCACACAGGCCAGTCTCAGATCTATGACCATGACTTTTGTGACAGTAAAACCTTTACTTCCCTGGTTATAGCAAACTCTGGGCTGGTATTATAATACAACTTCAAAATGTGATTGTCTTATATATTTGACATATATTTGATATTAAGGGTGGACTAGCTTTTGGGTTCTTAAGCAAAGGTCCCAATTGCTTTGCTGGATTGAGGAACAAGGCGTGGTGGTGTTTTGGGGACAGGACCCTTCAATGCCTCCAGAGACTCTTTGATGGGATCTAGCAGGCAGGTAGCTGATTTTGGTTTCGTGAATGATCTTCAGTTTGTTCATTAATTACAAAACAATTGCTCATTTGAGTTGGAGCAGAACTAATTCCCTGTGTCTGGGGGCCCATGAAGTAATGCTTGATTTAGATAAATATTCATTAACTGAAAATAACTAACTGTGCTGATTTTGTTTTATCTTACATCAAGGCCAGAGGGTTACCTCCAGCTGTACACCCAGTCAGCTAAGTTAATGGCTGACTCACTCCACAATAGAGGGCAAATGAGTTATTTACTGAATTAAGGCCAATAGTGGGAATTTCTGAATAGAGAACCTGGATTAATAGAACATTTTAAATGCTTTATTCATCCCAATGATGCCTTGTTGAGGCATTTATTTTTTTGTTTTACTGTTAGCAGTAGCAAACGTCATGTGAGTTGTAATGTACTAGATGGAGGTTTGTTATCATTAGGGCTTATCTCTCATCAGAGGGTGCTGGTCTCGTGGGGTCTTGTCTGTAGTGCCTTAGTGCAATTGGACACTAATTCTGCTCTCCGGCCTCAGAAAATACATCTTTATTGGAGTTGGAGAGAGATGGATTTTTTTTAAGTACAATCATGGTCACATTTGATGATCCATTTTTATTTTACTCCATTACATTTTGCGGCAATTATCTGTACTTTCTACTCCACTACATTTCTACAATTTATGCCGTTAGTCGTTACATTTTATGAACACAGTTTCCTCAAAATCTTGCTCCAATGATGGCAGAGCGCGCGTCAATTAGCAGCACGAGCTGGTAGACTGGCCAGTGTTGCCAACTTAGCGACTTTGTCGCTATATTTAGTGAGTTTTTAGACCCCTCTGGCGACTCATTTTCAAAAAATCTAGCGACTTTTTCTAGTGTTATTGGAGACTCTGACGTGGAAGCACGTATCGCACTGATCATCAACTGGCGGCCCGCGGGCCGAATCCGGCCCACTGAGCCATTCAATCCGGCCCGCGACTGGATTCCAAAATTGTGAGGATCAAAAAGAAAATAACCATTAATTATTTAACACTATTAAAGCAACTAAAAATAACATGGGAGCCTGAATCAAATGCCTTCAGTTTTGTAATGAAATGGAAAAAGTATAAACATTAAACATAATGTTAAGCCAAAATTTGATTTTTATTTGATTTTCTTCTTGGGGGTCCGGCCCCCAAGGAGACTGTCTGGTAAAACTCTGGCCCTCTGACAAATATAGTTGATGACCCCTGACGTATCGCTCTTACTCTCCTCACTGAGCAGCGGGTGCTGCCGTGGGTTCCGCTCCCATCTCAAAGCATTCACAGGTGGACAGTCCTCACGCAGCAGCCCCGCCCAGCTGCAGTCAGAACAGGAGATGTTCACCTTTCCGTGTCCAGACTGCAAATGAATCACGCATGCGCAAAGCCACCACTGGCTGATCCTGCTCTGGCTCATTGCCAAAGACTCTGCCAAGTAAACGGTTAAATGACAGTTTTCAAGAATAAGTAACTCCGCCAGAGTGTCTCTTTGGGAACACTTTTGCCAGTCCCAAGCCCGGATATAGGAGGAGGGTTGGAATTGTGATATAAAAAAACAAGAATCGACAGAAGAAAGTTCATTTGTAGTTCTAAATGTATTTAGGGTGTTTTTTAACCACCCTTTGTCTCTCCAACGACATTACTCCTCTCTCCTACAGCATCCATTATAATTGCATGCACATTATGCAAATTAGGCGATGGCGTCATTTAGCGACTTCTAGTGACTTTTGGGACAACCAATAGCGACTTTCCTTGCTGAGGAGTTGCCAATAGTGAGACTGGCTTGACTTCAAGAAGACGAGACATTAAACATTGACCCAGAGCCAATACACATATACTGTTAAGTTGCTTGTAATTATTACGAGCAATGACATCGGTAGAGGCGTAAGTCAGTATATCTACTATTCTTTTACAAAATGGCACACCCCAGACGTTCAGACAAACCATTGTGTGAGTACTTTTACTTAAAAAAATACTTTAAAGTAAATTTAAAAGTAAGTACTTAGTACTTTCACTTAAGTAAGATTGTTGATGTAGCACTTCTACTTTTACTTGAGTACATATTTTGCAGGATATTTGTACTTTTACTTAAGTACTAAGCTTTAGTACTTCCTCCACCACTGTCCATGTTTATCATATCTGGTATTCTGTGAATGCTGTTTACATGGCAAATAAGGGGAAATATTGTCTGAATTTGGGTATATCTCTGGTCCATGAAATGCTTGAAGTGCATTAAGCTCCAGATGAACCTTGAGTGACCTGGGCGACCATCTGGCACCAGGTTTAACACACAGACGCATGATTCTCTTACTCAGGGGAGCTTGACCAGTGCTTCTCCAGCTTCCTGGAAGGTCTGGGGCTCCTAACACTCCTCCGGTGACCTCATGATGTACCGCTCCCATTCATTTAATCTTTTTCTTTTTAATGCCCAGAGGTGATGCTTGACCCAAATCAGCCACCGGACCCGCAAACATACCTGGGGTGTCCCCAATTGGTTTCCATAGATTTCTGAAGACTGGCACACACAGGTGCGAGGTATACACTGTCATATTCCACTGGGCACCAAGCATTCCTGGGGTGCATGAAGTCACTGGGAGCCATCTGCTCTTTCTGGCTTTACCTTTTTTTTTTTTTTTTTTTTAAATGTGTCATTGATTAATACCATTGCTTTTATTTGCTGTTAAGTGTGACATCATTTTTTAGGCTATGTGATCTCATTGTTTCTGCTTGGCGTTCTGTGATATCATTTGTAGGGTGTGGTTTGTATTTGGAATTGTGTATGACAGGGGTGTCCAACTCCCCTGTGGTGCGTTTGGTTATATCAGAGACATTAATTCCGCCATATGTGTGGTCTGACATTTACCCATATCTGTAAAATCGTTGTTGAATTAAAAACTTTGTTACAATTAAAGGAAAAATTCATTATATGCATAGCAATAGATGGACCCTGTCACGATCGCGGCGGTATAGCAGGCAGGAAGCGGCAATGAACGAGGCAAGCAGGCAGGATAGCGGGAAACGAGGGTTTATTTGGGGAGACGGGGCAGACAGCGACACACATTACATCAATGACGGACACCCAACTAAGGAAGACGTGGACTAATATACATGAAAGAAGCCGAAATAACAGGGAACAGCTGGGCACAATTGTGGAAGCACACGTGGATAATGAGGGGGCGTGGCACACACGAGGATCGGACGAGCTGGGCGTGACAGACCCCAGTGGAGCCCAGCTCTACCTCCTTACAGTATGTCTATATCGCATCTTGCTGGAGTATAATTCCACCTTTTTATTAACCCCTTTTTCTTAATGTCACAAAATTAGAAGATTCTAAGCGAACAGTTTAATAAAATGTCAGTTTTGCTCTATCATTTAAAAAATTTTACTAATGCTGATTTTCTTTAGTTGCTCAGATTTCCTTAATGAGTGAGAGATTCCTACATGAAGCCTATTCTCTGTCCCATGATCTTACATTTCGACTTATTTCAGTTATCGTACTGCTGCCAGAACTTATGGGGTATTGAATGTGTTTGTCATACACACCAAGGAATTATATAAGTGTAACATCACCTTCCTTGACTTAAACTCCACACATCTAGAGATATAACCCAACATTCTGTTCATTTCCTTGGAGGAAAAGGGCTCTGTTCCACAACTG